CTTCTTCAGATTGTTTTGTTTTGTGACTTTATGTTTAAATGAAATAATACTGAAAACAAAATCTGTTCAATTATAAGTATTTATTCTAGATAAAGTCTATTATGAGCGCCTTCTTCAAGATGGCAGTTATCCGCTAACTAACTTGTCTGTAAAGATTCACTGCCAGTAAGTTGAAATAAAGTGTGTATGAAAAAGCGTACGCTGGATTAAGTTGTTTGCAATAGTCAATATCGACAGTTTTCAACCATCTAATAATCGATTCAAAGTGTACTGAGACAACAGATCATCTAGTATGCATTAGACGAATAACACGAGTTATGCCCCGATGACCAATAACATTATCATTGAGAACGTAAAAGTTTTCATTTCGATGTTAGAATTAATGAGTGTAAGTAATTTCAGAGTAGACTAAATCAAAATGAAAGGAGTATAAAGGTGCGACAAAATGCTGAACTATCTATGCTTCAGGCTTTGTATTCAACGCTTCACAAATATGCTGCCATAAATACATAATTTGTATTCCTATTTCGCGGCGAATTTCAAACAGGTAGACATTCATTTCTGTGACCAAATGTCAACGATTTATTTTATTTTTATTTATTTTTTTTGATTACAGCTTGACTCCACACCGTATTTTTGGTACAAGTGTGGAATTTTCAGCGTGGATATCGGTAGCCCAAAATTCGCAGGCCGACCGTAGACATCAGGTGTGCGTCGGCGTGGGCTCGAGCCCCGGACCATGTGCATGGTCGGCGACAGTCCTAACCACTGTGCCACCGAAATTTGTTGGTAATCTGCTGGTAATCATACAGCTCTAAATTTTCAACAATTATTAGTGTCATTAAGTAAGTCAAAATAATAATAAACTGAGAAAAGACAGTAATACAGGGGTTAGGTGAAATCTAGATCACCTACAGTGGATGATTTAGAGAATTATTCCTGACAATGACTGAAAAACTATAAGAAATCCCTTGAGCACTGAACTGAGTTTTCATTCTTGTTTCATACTAGTCGTCAGTGACCTATGTAGCAATCAAGCTCACAATTATCACATTCCAAGATAAGCAAGAAGGTTATTGTCGATTGTGCATTAAAACCTAATGGATACTACAGCTTTCGGTCATTATATAGTGCGATATACAGAATACTACGGCCACCAGTAAAGTCAAAACAACAGTTTTTATCAATTGTAACAACGACAACAACATATATTTAGAGGAAAAATAGCAGTTTTACCTAAAGCCTGTAAGCTGCACGAGTCTAAACTTCATTTCATAGCCATAATTTCCAAGCGGAAAAAAGCGCTCAGAAAGTTTGGTGACGCACGATCTTGTACACACTTTAAAGACAATCTATGAGATGAAAGGACCTCTAAATAAAGAATGTGCCGATTCAAAAGGTTTTATTGCTCATATTCTATCATGATAGTAAACTACATAGGACTATCTGACTTCAGTGTGTCTCATGAAAAGAAAGATAAACCTAACCCATAAGATGAAACAAAATATCAAGATATAAACAATACACTGAATGTGTTTGCATTTTATTGAGTAGAGAAACTAAATACTTGTTTACTTTATTACAACATTTATTGCGAACAAGAAGAAAGATGTTACTGTCGTTCGCTCATGACTGGTGGAGAGTTGACGCCTTTAAAATACTACACTGTTTAAGTATTTTTTAACCGAAGTCCTCCCTTTTGATAATAAAATCTGACAAATATATGCACGTTTTACGACCATTGGTAGAAGTGTAACATTTTGTGACAATTCAACACGAAATATATATATATATATACATATATGCTTCATAACAATCAAATAAGCAAGTGTATGTCATAAGTTAATTAAAATTGTTTCATTTAAAAATTAATATCAGGAAAGGTTCTTATTGTTCACAAACATTTTGTGGGCTTTTTTTGATTATATAAGCTATAAACCTCATATAAAATACAGGCCTGCTAAGACTTGAATGGAATTTTATGAGTAGGTCTCAGAAGTTTGTTATTTCTTCATATTACACATGGGCAGTTTTCTTTCCATTTATTGTTGCGAAATTGTTATCAACTTTGAACGTATACATCGCATAAACACCAATAAACCTCAAACTTTCAGGAACAATATCCCTGAAACTTATGAATATGGTCTGCTCCTTAATGAAGCTTGGTAGTGGACAAGTCACACTCAAATGTCGAAATTGACAAAATAACAAATTATATATATATGTATATACCTTTTCTCCAAACTACTCAACTTTTCTGTTATTTCGTAAAGAACTTCGGCTGTTTCAATGAGATTCTAATCGTATATTCCAATTGCAAAATCCTTAAGTGTCATGACTATCTGTTTTATATAAATTCATTGTGATTCAGTCTAACGTAGAACATACTTTTTACTTCATAAATAAAAATACACATATTAATCACCTTGAATCAGTTATTTAAGGCAGATTAGTTGTCCCAAAAACGAAGCAAAACTGATGTAATTAACAGAGTATTTTATCAACTTTTAAGTGTACTGAAGTCTGTTGATAACAATTTTAAAATTGCAAATATTTATACTGAGCTTGCTTTTTATGCATAAGACAATTGATTATGAATGAGGCGGGGGCGGGAGTATTGTTTGTGTTTTAAAGAGAAGTAAGAAAGCACCAGAGAAGTGAATATCAATAAAATCAATCAGTAGCCTATACTTGACACTTCACTATTATTTTTCTATGGTTTGGTTTGTAAGGGTTAGTTATGTTTTTACGAGTTGATCACGGATTGATATCAGTTAGAGAACCATTGAAAACCAGGGAGTACTGGGCAGCTGTTGTTTTTGGGAATCATCGGCAGTACTCCCTGGTTTTCAATGGTTCTCTAACTGATATCAATCCGTGATCAACTCGTAAAACTTCACTATTATCAAAAAGAGAAATAGCCGTTCATAAGTACTTGCAGTCAAGTATATCTTTGCGAAACCTTCAATGATTCATATACATTTGAAACTTTTATTTAAATAAAATCTAAATTATGCACCATTAATAGACATTGTGGGGCGTTGTATTTGTGGAGATTTTGTTGGTCTGACGGTACATTTAATCACGAACAGACATCAATTGCAGAACCACTGAAAATATGAAAGTATTTGAGCAAGTGTGTGGGACTCCCTAGCACTTCGCATCCATAAATATAACAACAATCCACTTCACGACGTTATGATTGCTACGTTATGGCACCAATGGATCATAACTTCTAAATTCTGTCAATTCTTAATACAACACTGATGTCAAATGATGACGGTGCCTGACGAAATCCACACTGTAATTAATCAAAACTTCATAAGTAATCTCCAAGGCAGCAGATGAATGGCAAGATGCTGGTCTCGTAAATTGATAGTTCTCCGAATAGCCTTTTGTGAAAAACACTCGTAGATATCACTGAAAAGTAGCAAACTGAAGGCTAAACAGCTGTTCGGTCGGTGCTCTACTGTTCTCAGACCAGTCAGATTCTAGAGAAATGGAGTGCGCAAATCATTTTTATCGTCCTAAACAATGGACGGTATTGTTCACCTGCTGTGTAAATTTCAATCATAACAGTCATCTCTTTAATACCATAATGATAAAATGTCCAAATTTGTCACTAGGTGAATCAAGTTCATATTTCTCAGAAAACATTGTTTCACTCGTAAGGTCGCAAATACGCCTCATCGATCAATGCTGACACGTAACAAAACCTAACTTCATAGCTTGCAACATTCAATATAAGGCGTTGTTTGATAATATACTGTATTTTCTATATGATCAAATTAATAAGATAAAACTTTTAAGGAACATTGTTTATTGACGACAAAATGGATAAGAAAAAGTTACGTGTTCAGAATTTCATTGTTTATTTGATAGAATTTCTACTGTGATGAATTAACTCAAACTACGGTAATTAGCTGTCATAATGGATTTTGACAAACAATTTAGCTAGCATAATTTATGATCGGTCTCTATTATGTATTTTGAGATAGCTGATGTGTTGGATATCTGTTTCGAGGGTCAACTGAGCTGGATATTCTGACTACTACTACTATTACTTAGAAATGTTCATTTCATTGTTCAAATGCTTCGCTGAGAAGGGCACTAAAAGCCATTAGTAGAGCAAGTGGGATATCGTTAAACCAACTGGTTAACACTATTGTGGATAGACATATAATGTCATGTAGGAAACTAGCGAATACAATATTGCCAGACCCCGAGCATCCTCTCTATACGCAGCTGTCTCCTTGCATTTCATCTGGTAGAACAACTAGAAGCAGCTATAGGTGGCTATATGCTAGGATTACCAAATACAAAAACTCCACAATACTATATCTGGCACAGCTATTATGTGATGAGAAATCCGTTAGGTATGACACGATCAACTTACTGCAGCACTCTAACAAATAGTCCCATTAGTTTTTGTTTTCTTTTCCTCGTTACTATTACACTGTTGTTCGCATCTTCTATTACACACCAAAATTTATATTTCATATCTTGTGGTGCATTGTTTAAAATGTAAACGCTACACTGTTTTTTTAATATTTATTTATTTTATTTATTTATAACTTATTTATTTTATTTTTATCTATTTATCTTTGATTTTTAAAAATCTTATATAATTTATGAGGTAATTAGATGCAATATACTGTAATGCACGCTGAAAATTCCATACCTGTACCACAAATACCGTTTGGAATAAAGCTGTTATTATTATTATTATTATTATTACACGCGTCAGATAAATTACACCTTATTGTAGTTTCAATTAAACTAATGTATCTCTTAATTAAAGTCCAGGCCAACTGCAACATGAAATATTGTAATGTGTGTACATAATCGTACAATTATCTGACAAAACAAATAATTAGCCTTCTTACAAATCATTAAAGAAACTCCAAAGATTTGAACTATGAAGAAAAATCTTAATAGCAATAGGATTTGAACCAATGTACTCACTTTTCATGAAAATAAAACTACACACAATTACTTACCTTAGCGCAAAAATGAATCCCCTGTTTAAAGACTTCATCACTGTACACAGGTATGCGTGTATCTAATCCATCGTCTAACATAAAGTCATATGCATGACGACGAAAAGGCATTGTTGAATAACCTTCCTGTTTTTAGAATTAATAAAGTGTTTCTTCCTTAGAATACAGAAGTTAGTACGAATACCTCAAAGAATGCTGTGATTTTGATAAGTTAGTTATATATATATATATATATATTTTTTTACACGATTGCCTTAAATTTTATAGTGTTCTGGTTAGTATTTTACTATGAGTTTTAAATCCCTTTTTAATTCATAATTTCATCTCTCATATGAATGAAGTGCATTATCATTTCACCTCCAGTTTCTTAAGGTAAAATTTTACTTACAAACAAAATTTTGGGATATTCAAATTTGATTGGTCTACAATCGGTCTAACCAACCAATTAACAGCAAGGCGTAGAAACTAAATCAAAAATACACCTTCAGTTAAGTAGAAGAGATTTCAATTAGTGTGTAGTATGAGAGACTAATCATCCTTTCATTCTAAAAGGTGGTTTCGTAATAATCTTTACTTTTACTATTTCAGATTATTTTTATTCGAAATAGAAGGGGATAATGGTATATTTAGGTTTGAATGACTAACAGTCAGTGAACTGCAAAGATGGTGATTTGCTTTAAATGGAAATGTTTTACAGAAATATTGCGTAAATTTTAATGTATTGTATATTTATTGGAGAGAATCCTATCTTGTCCATGTTAAATATAGTAGAAAATTTAGCTGTATGTAGGATTCTGAGAATTTATTTACATAAATTAGAGTTTAAGATGGTGAAATATACACACCAGCTTGTAAGAAAATCGAAGTTATATGACAACGTTCGTTCTTACTGACATTTCCTTCGAGTACATATCACTTCACCACATCAGTTTAATCGCTGATATGGTTTTCAAGAACATGTGAAAAGATTGTTTAATGATAGCTCAGAGAGAAACTTCGGACAAGTAGAAGATTATGATGTGAATTAAGTGAGACAGTTCAGTAATGACTGACAAGAATGAAATATATTAAAAAACGCCAAACGACAAAATCTTCAATGCTAACTTCAGTGTGAAATTTACAGAGGACTACCAAAACCCTCTTTACATCGTAATCGATTGTTATTACCTAAGAGGACTGAATGTAAACCATAGTCACTTTGTTCTGTCTGCACCTAGCTAATATGCCTATTTACCAGCTGTGTCTTCCAATTCACTGAGCCACGCAAATATAAAAAGACAAAGATTGGCCTGTGACTGTATATTGTAATCACAACATGCGTGAGAAATGATGATATACTACTTTATGCGTTGAAGTTTCTGTAGCAATTTGGTTATGCGGGATCCTACCATCTCCCTCTGTAAAAAGTGTAGGACTGTCTTTTGGATCTGCTTGGAGAAGTTTTGATTTTTTCAACCAAAAGTAATTCTAGTGTTGGTTTGTAGGGATTTGACTGGTTTCAGGATTTCATCATGAGCTGACATTAGTTAGAGAACCATAGGAAAACCTGGGAGTTCTGGACAGCTGTTTCCTTAGTCCTAGTTTGGAACTCTTCAGCAGTACGCACCCACCGGGATTCGAACCCAGGACCTTCTGGTTACAAGGCGAGCTCCTATACCATTAAGCCACTGGGACCCGACCCAATGGTCCTTGAATTCTAACTTCTGCCAATTCACGACATAGCGCGACCGCTAGCTGGAGATAACTTATTTCAAGGAGAAGTATTGGTTGATGTCTGATAAGGCAGCAGATATCTGTCCAAGATATCTCTCACTGTTCCCTTCCCCTTGGCTCTCATGAAAGCACACTTAGAGATGTAGACGAAGCAATCACCTTGTCCATAGGATTGAGTTTGATGACGAATTGGACGTTTAGGAGAGGAAACTCGTATGTCACGCGGCTTCAGAGTCTAAGGTATTTGACTAGACTTGCGGCAACTAAACTTTGCCCGGAAGAATGGAGGATGCTTTTGACACGAGCGTTGCTTAGAAACTGATCAGATAAATGTCTGGGAACAACGTTATTTGATGAGGATGAAACTTTGGAGCATAATGAGTTTAATGGTACATTCAAGATATGGAGCTTGTCAAACCAGTTAAGACCAAGTAAATTCAAATCATGTTAGTTTGTGAGATAACATACACCACTGAACTGATGCTCACTAAACTTAATATGACAATTTATCTCACCCATGAGTTTCACTATATCTCTAGGGCATTCCTAGCGACAGTCTCTGTCGGCAGAATTTGTGGGTACCCAAGTTTGAGCCATGTGGCTCGGTAAATTAAGCTGATATCTGATGCTGCATCTAACTGAAGACGAATAGGTTTACTGTCAGTAGATAGCGTAATATACTTGCGTTTGCTGGCGAAATCTACTTTGGAAGTTGTGAAAATGGTCTGTACCCGAAGAGATTGTTTCGGCTTGAATGAAAGAACTACGTCTGTTCCTCACCGAAGAGTTTTTCTGTGGTGGATAAAACCGTGGCACTTTCGGCGTTTATGTTTCTTGAAAGGAAAAAACTTGACAAAATGCCACGAACCACAGTGCCAGCCAGCACACTGACGGAGGTCTAGCTGAATTAGAAGACTGACGTGCTGTGTGTTTAACGGTGACTGGAGGAGTTTTCACTGTGTTAATTGAACTCCGCCAAAGCAGTGTCGTGTTTCAAGTTGATCAGGCGTTGACTTTCTGCTGTCACCATTTGTAAACTCATTTTCGGATCTTTTCCCACGAGTGACAGAAGTCGAGTTCTTCTGTCAGCATCTTCTGGGTTCTTCGAACGACAAATAAAAATCAAACACTTGAACTGATCTGGTGTCATTTCATGTGGTTCAAACCTTACACATTCCTTGTTCACTTTGCCAGAGTAAATGACATAATCATCGGAAGGCACTTTTGTCAACTGAAAACATTGATATCAAATATTAAACGTGGATGACTGTTCACCGAAAATATTTGATAAAACGGTGACTGTCTCATCAAAAGAAAACTCACGTGGGTTTTTAGGCAGAATGAAATTGACATTTTTGTTGTGTTCGACAGTATCAAGTTTTCGTAATAACAATCGAACTTTGGAAGCATCAGCAAACATGGAGCATTCATTATGGAAAACGTCTTCATAACTGTTGAACCATGCATCAAATACGAGACCAGATATTGGGTCACTGAACGGAATAAAAACCGTCATCGCTTGTTTGTTGTGACTGCAGTGAACTGAATGAAAACCCAGTTATATTTACACTGAATTAAAATAACCCCATCGCCAGTTTGTAATAACTAATATTGAACTGAATGTAAGCCGTAGTCACTTTGTTCTGTCTGCACCTAGCTAATATGCCTATTTACCAGCTGTGTCTTCCAATTCACTGAGCCACGCAAATATGAAAAGACAAAGATTGGCCTGTGACTGTATATTGTAATCACAACATGCATGAGAAATGATGATATACTACTATATGCGGGGTCCTTTCACGATACTTAAGATGCTGTCTAGAGAGACAATTTCACCTTCACCTTTCATCCATCCAGCTCAGACAACACATAAACCCCAAATATATATCTATATTAAAATGCTAACAATGAATACAATATTCTTCTGGGTAATGAGCTCTTAAGTGACTACAATTGTTCTTTTGGCATTCTAACTGCAGACTATCTGAGTGAATGACTTTCATTCTACCGCCTAACCACCGGCGCCATCTTATGTGCTATATAGTAATTAATGATTATACTGTCTTTTAATCTGAAACTAGTCTTCATACAACCGACAGTAAGCATAAAATAGACGTTTACTAAGTCCACGAAATAATAAGAACACGTAATTCCTAGCCACACACCTACTTATCATGCATATGCATATAAAATATCAGAAATAAATAAATATTAGTCGAAGTGTCAAGTTATCAATCAGAATCACTGATCAGAGGTAAGAGAAGATAAAAAGGAGAAAATGGTACCGTATAATGAAGGCTTGGCCTTAACTTCGGAGAACCATGACAGATGCAGAGTAATACAAATTAATTTTGTAACAGTCAAACAGGTTTACGTCTTTTCATTGCTATGGATTTAACAGACCTAAGTAAGTAACCTGTAGATATTTTGTGAATAAGTCTAAATGAAGTGGTGAAACCGGCTTTATAGCCGATTTCATTGATGTGCTTAGAGAGATATGGATTATCTATGTTGACCTACATGACTTCATTTTCCCTTCCAGTTACTCCTAACCTGCAGACATAGATAAGTTTACCCTTTATGTGTGAGACTACTTATACGCTTGCAAACTGATAAACACAATGAGATGTGACACGGTCGTTCAAATAATATAAGGATATACAGGATAAAATCAATTTCCTCTTCTCTACCGAAAACAAGTTTGGCTGAATAAGTTTTTAAGTAAGTTTTATAAAGTACCATTCTGAGTCTTTATTCAGTGATCAGACTTTGGCAGTCACGCTTAAACATTGAAGTTATAGATTTAAATTTGTTGTTTCAATAAAATGACGGTCTTCAAGTGATTGAAACTCCACTTATATATATATATTCAGTGGAAAATGGCAATTGTTATGATTACTTTATTGCTCTTCAATGTTCTGTGTAGAAATCATTTTATCGTATTCATTACAGCTCTTTGAAAAAATGTAACTGATATGTAATTGTGAAGAAATTAATATTTATTGGGAAATTGAATTATCAAAATATTTTGTTGACTGATATCTCAGTTTTTTTTAACTGAATTTTAGATTTTCCCGTCGATTGACTCGACCGAAGTGCTCGGTCTCAGGTTGACATGTCGGCTTCTTGTGCAGATGCTTCGACGATGTCTGGGCATTTAATTAGAATTTAATTTGTGGATGGTGACTAGCAGTGGAATTCAGGGTGCGCATTTCGTCCAATGCAGAGTCCATCAACTGGATGTGCCTGCATTTCCGAGTGCGTGATGATGTTCCCACCGAGAAATGAAGGTGTACTCAGCTGATGAGTCCGAAATCGGACGAAATGCGCATCCTGGATTCCACTGCTAGTCACCATCTACCAATTAAATTTTAATTAAATGCCCAGACATCGACGAAGCATCTGCACAGGAAACCGACATGTCAACCTGAGACCGAGCACTTCGGTCCAATCAATCGACGGGAAAATCCAAAATTCAATTAAATAATAATTAATATGACCCGTTGCACAAGAGGTGGCTCTCGTAG